GTTGTCTAACGAGCAATTTCGAGTTTCGGGTACAAACGGTACTTTTGATTTCGTCTTCTAAATAATTATAGCGCCTGAACGACAATAAAAGCCAATCAACAGTGCGTACATTTTTGCACTAATTACGCATACACAAACAAAAGGTATTCGATGTAAAAATTCCCGACCGAAAAATGTTACTGCCGATCAAGAAAAAAAAAAAAAATCATGCATAAATGTTTTGTGCCGTTTAGACCCATTTTCCGCGTCGCCATCGATATTATTTCGAAGGAAACGTCGTAATATGTGTGTTTTTTTTTTTTTTTTGGAAGTACCGAATCAATTTGCAAAACTGTACATAATTCTTGCCGTCCCGTTACTTGCGGCCGTTGCCCGTGCCAAAATAAATACAACTCAAAAAACGAACTAAATAACCAGGAATTTCGAGGAGGAGAACGTATCTAACACGTTATTTCCGATTTAGTGATAGCGCGAAAGGGTAACAGACGTCCATCCAAACAAATATTCACATTTCATGATTACCGTGTATTATTTACCTTAGGAGACAGGCCAACGCATACCATCGCGGACTTTGCAGTAGACCTCTTTAAGATATACAATTTTTATTTATCTCATACGGTTTGGCCAGCGTTAGCAATGTAAGCGTCTAAAAAAAAACTGTTTTTACTACTCAACTACTACGAAACATTTCTCTACTTTGTATAAAATTAATACGCCATGCATTATATAATCATTATAGACCTTCTGGAAGAAATCCATAAATGATAGTGAAAACCGTATTGAAATTCATCGCATAGTTTAGGAGATCTAAGTGCGCCGATAGACGCGGACGGCGAATTTATTTTATACTATTTAGAGATAATATTGTATTTTAGATTCTGAGTGGAACGAAGAATCTTATGGTTTTACAAAGATGTTTATTTTTTTATCTTTTAACCCGTGCGTAACTTTTCTACCAAAAATCTGAGCAAGATTTTCAAGTGTACCACGTTTCCTAAAAGGAAATCGGCGTTGGGAGGTACTTAAAAGAGGTCATTTTTTTTGATTTTCTCACTAGTTTTTCCTACTTCTGAACGAACATTTTTAAAGAGTATATATATGCCTATACAGTTATTTTATAACATATTATATATTGTTGACAAATAAACTGAACTCCGCTCAAAATCGTTTTTTCGTTAGCAATTAATCATTGTTAATCGTCACTAACAGATATACATTAAGTTCCCTATAACAGTGGCTGCATCCGTCCCCATTTATCCTAGGACAGATTTCTTTTATCTATAAAGTTAATGCGAAACGTGTACGAGATTCCCTCGAAAATGTTGTTCTCTACCTCTTTTCTATTATGGATAAGGAATTCGTTACAATTATCGCTTTGAGGGGCACTATTTCTGTTCTATTTAAACAAATTGCATGTTTTCATTATCAATGAAACCAGTGGCGTGAATTTACCTAAATTTCTGGTGGTGCAGAAAAATCTTTTAATTTTTAACCCCAACCATTTTTACTCCAACTTCCTTTGTAAATAAACAATTTATTTTTCTGTAGGTATCAAATTTGTTTTTATGAAATTAATATATTATAAGCATTGAATTATATTAACAGTAAAAACTTTATTATTATAACATTTAAAGAAAAACTATAGATAGGTTTTTGTTTAATATAAAATATAGACTTTTGAATGGGTATAGGTACAAATATTTTTATGATTTTCTGGTGATACGAACATATTATAAGCTTGCATCATTAGATTTCAAATATGGTGGTGCAATCGCTACATTTGCCAATACCCCCCAATTTACGCCACCGAACAAAATACTTGTTCAATTCATTCGTGAACAAATGTGAACGTTTCTAGAGCGGATAAATTTTAATACTTACATAAATGTCATTAAAATTGCCTATACGAAACCCCTCAATTACGTAATGGGCGTGTGACAATTAAAACATTAAAGAATTCACGAGCAAATGAATAGTCACCGAATTTATGTTCAAAAATCCACGATGAGGATCGATTTGGACGTGCTTAGTAAGGAAAAAAAGGCCATCAGATTTTGACACTGGCTGAGGTTAAATTTATTGTCGATAGTTTAAAAAAAAAAAAAAATTATCATCTATCCTCCCCATCAATAATTATTTTGGTCTTTGTTCCTCGATGAATGATATCCATATTATAATCACGCATATATTTAAATACCTATGCTATAATATTTCGAACTTCAAAAACATTTAGCGCAAACTACGCTTTAGAAATGCCTGTATCGTTATTTTTTTTTTTTTGTCAGAAAAACCTTTAAAAAAAGAAATAAAATAATAATAATAATAAAATGTATGCGCATAGGAACATTAAGACGGTGAATGAAAATAAAATTTGAATACATCGCAGTGAAATGCGTTTGTAATAAGATTCATAAAGGAAATATCTCATTTGTCATACACAAAAGATCGCAATTTCAATGCTTTTTTTATTCATATTCGTTTTTTTTTTTTTTTTTATCTATACATAATATATTCATGTGTATTATAACGTATCGTATAATATATACACATATATTTAAAAACTTTTAAAGACCGAACATACAAATAAAATATTAGCAATAATAAATATTATACTTGGATTTCAAATATTTATTATAATGTTTAATATATTGTGATTTCAAATGCCTACATTAAAAATTGTATTTATTTTTCGTAATTACATACGACGAACGTTAAGTCACCCCCTTTCTCCCCTCTCCCGTATCAATCGATTTGATTGAAAAAGGTGTTAACATATTGAAAATTGTGGCAAATTCGGTTAGACTTATTGCAAATCCGCCGCGAATCCTTGTTAATTCAATCTGTTTTCTTTCATTGAAGGAGAGCAATTTCACGCAGCTCACTTTACTTTGATCGATCAACGTCGGAATACTGCCAAATACTTACAAGTCGAAATTCTCTAATATCGCAAATCGTTTTAATTAAATATTTTTTTTTTTTTTAGAATTTTTCTATATTTTCAGTAAACCATTCCTTCTATTTTGGCTGATCAATGTCGGAATTTCGGAAATCACACACCTCACGAAGGAACAATTTGCATTACACTTATAATAATTGTTAAATATAACAGTTCTAATCACGAAATTTCAGTATATACATCAGTGGCACAACTAAAGTCCAATTCTTGGGGGGGGGGGGCTGGAAATATAAAACTGTCACATAGTTGTAGCAGGCTCAGTGCCCCGCACTCTCCGACGTAATGCATTGACAATTCAACGCATTTTACTTTCAATTACTGTATTGTATAATAATAAAAGTTTTAAACATAATTTTCTATTGGCGGAAGCGAATTTATTAAATTCAAACCATTCCGGGTTAATTTCATTATCTAAGTCTCTCTCAACAATAATGATACTTAAATTGAGAAACCGTTGCTGTGTCAAACTATTTCTTTTTCTATTTCTTTTCCAATTTTTTTAATCTTCACATAGAAGAAAAACACTACGCTCGCATGTTGCTGAAATAACTTTAATTTAATCTTTATTAGTTTGTAGAGCTTAGGAAAAATTATTTATTTATAATTTGTTTAATATCTGGATCTTTGGTATTTTTTAAACAATTTATTGTAACAAGCATTTGCAGTTTTAAACTCTCAGTGCTAGAATTTTTTATATTCTGGAATCCAAGTTATTTTTAAACAAACAAATTATAAAAATATATTACATTCAACTTAATAACTTATTTAATACGTACCTTATAATGATGTATAAAACGCCAACTATTTTTTTGAATGATCCATATCCATAAAATTATCAATATATTTATTACAACTAAAGACCGGATTTATGTGTTTTTACATATCGTTACTGAGTTTATGCACTCTTATGAGAGTCAACAAATAATGACGATTCGTTCGATTCTGAGTTCGTAGGAAAAAGATTTTTGAGAAGATTTGAGAATATTTTACGGGTCGAGGAATATTTAGCTTATTTTGCATATTTTGAAATATTTTGTAAATTGTGAGAAAAAAATATTAGTTTTAATAATACGGTATCTGAAAAAATATATTTTGAACATTTCCATTTTTTTTTTTTTGTTTTATTTCGATAAAAAGATTTAGTGTTTAGCACCTACCTATTATAAGTTACTGTTTACTATACATGATCGTGGCTAATCTACGAATGTTGGCAGTTGTTTTTATACTGAAAATAACATCAACTTATTTGTTTATCATTAAACATTATTAACAGTTAAAATGTCCAAATATTCTGTTTGCACTTTTCTAATCACGTACAACGTGATTTTTAAGTTTTTTAAAAATAAATTACCTATATTGTTATATTCCTAATCTTACTTAACTGCACTGTTATTCTAGTTTAATAAATAAGTATCACTTATTATTTATAGAATGTGGAAAAAAAAAAAATAAATACAAATAAAAAAAAATTGCATATTAAAGCATTGATTATTTTTGCATATTTTTCAAACTTCTAAGAGATTATAATGGGAATATGATAATTTTTTAGAGAATATGAGCATCATATTTTAGGTGTTTTAAGAGAATATAAATCCGATTTTTAATCATGACTATCTGCAGATTTTTATTTGAAAACCTAAAATTCAAATTATTTATAAGTAATAACCGGAATCGACAATAAGATAATATTGTATAGTACGCCAATATGCTTCAATTATTTCTGACACGTCTTGTTTTTCATAATTAGCTCCAGTAGTTGTCTCCAAACGAAAATTATTATTTAATTTGGTTTTTGATAGGATTGGCACTGTAAACACAACGAAATCAATACAATTTGTTTTAGTACAAAACCCTTTGGAAGTACAGCTGCGTCTCCAACGACGCATATTTTAAGTAGCAATAATATATTGGCTAGGTAATGAAATAACAAACAATGTCGAATTAAAATGTAAAAAAAAAAAAAAAAACAAAAACAACCGAACGGAATCCGAAAACAACGACAATAAAATAAATTCAAAAAATTATAAAACAATAATAAATCATTATGTACAACAATCGCGTGCTTCTTGGCAATTGGTATGAAGACAGGATTGGCAAATTCGCCTTGCAAAAAGACGGAAATACGGATTCAACTTATCAATCAGATTACCGTGTAATTGAAGGCTTATCAGCTCAGGACAATAGAGCACTTTTGTGGAAGTTAAGGGATAACGCAGTGGTAATATGTACACATAATTGCATTATTATGATTATTATTATTGACCGATGTTAAATTATTATTGCACTGACATTGTTTACAGTCATATTGCTAATATTATTGTAGTTACCGACGGATTCGCTAATCCGTATATATTCGTTGAATCGATTATGAAAAAAAAAAAAAAAACCTATTCCCGTATACCGTCAATTGTATAGAAAGAATAGGTACAAGGGATACACCGAACAAAAAATGCATCGATTAGATTTAAAATATTGTGTTCGGGGTAAAATAATAAGACAAACGGACATACGTCACACGACGGGTGGGTTGTAGGAGAGTAGTTGGGAAGGTATATAGGGAAAATTAAATTTATGTACACACATTGCTAATGAAAAACGATTCTGAGCACAATTCGGTCATGCGTGTTTTGAAAGGCCGTAATATTTACGATTTGAACATAATACATTAGGTACATTTTTCCGTTTTTACTACGTTTATTTTCCCATTTACCGTGAATACCTTTAAGAAAATCAAAAAATTACTTTTTTAAAGTACCGCCCTAGTTAAATTACTTTTCAGAGAATGTGCTACACTGGAAAACCTGAGCAAAAATTTACGGCGGAAAAATTGTTCACCGAGAAAAAAAACAATCGTACAACTACAATACATTCTTCGCTGCGATCAAAATCTTGCTACGATTTTCAAGTGTATCACCTTTTCTGAAAGTATATTTTTGCAGGGTTACCCTCTATGTATCTCTTAAGGAGGTAATTTTTTGATTTTCCTAGGAGTTTTGAGAAAAAATCGCAAAACCCGAAGAAAACGGAACAATTATAAACCGATAATAATATTGTATAAGCGCGCGTCTGGCGAACATTTAAGACCCATTTGAATGTTTCGTGTTTTTAAATAATTATTTGTTTAGGGTTTGCCGGTCGAATCATTCCGCGAACACGGTGCCCACAACGTCTACAAAAACAACTTGAGTTCCACGTACAACTTGAACTGTGCGATCGCTTATCATTCGCCATCGCCAAGGAGTTACCGAGGGGCGACCGGATTATGGGAACCCGAAAGGAATTTGCTGGCCAATTACGGGCCGGGACCCAGTAAAATGGTCGAAAATAAACGGCGAAAATGGAACAGCGAGAACAGTACGAGTCCGATTACCGAATATCAATGTAGTTATTCAAAGACGAACTAATCGGCAATAAAAACAATAAACAAAAAACAATATCGTATTGATAACAGTACGGTTTAATTCTAAATTGCCCGGTATACCGGTGTTATTGATTAGTCGAAGTAGACAGTCGAGTAAGTAAATGTCCGTTTGCCAAAATTAATTCGAAAATGTGAACCAATCTATACATAAAAAAACATTTGTATCACAAGCGAATACGTATTTACAGATTTGATATCGATGTATATGACACAATAGTAAGTATGCATTGTATTGTACCAATATATCTAATAGATATATTGTATATATTGTATATTGTAAACATTGTATATACGGGGTGATCAATCTATCGTAAGAATCTCATTATCTCGGGAAGTATTAACTTTTTTTCAGTATTGGTTTTATAGAATATTTAAGAAACGAGCAGCCTTATAATTTTACATTTACGTTTTTTTTCACTCGTAATTTTGGGAGGTAAAACCTCCACTTTACCTACTTTTTTTTTTTTTTAATATATTTAATATATATTTTTTTAAATATTTAATATATATTTTTTTTAATATTTAATATATATTTATAATATTTTTTTTAATATTCAACCTATATTAAAAATTCCATAAATGTATAGAGTATTAATTCAATTAAAGTTAGATGTAATTGATTTTTGATATCCGTCAATCCGTCGACGAGATATTCCACTTTTGAGTTTGGATCGGGAGGGAGTAGTGGTGTACAATTAAAACTACACTCTCCCGACTATACTTAAAAGTAGATTGACTGAAATCGAAAATGTTCATACTAAAATGTATTTTAATTAAAACTCTACGTATTTATAGAATTTTTAAAATATTTGTTACCAACTGAAAATCGAAAGTAGGTAGTGATTTTACCCCCACAAATGTGGCTGAAAAAAATAACATAAAAATAAAATTGTAGAGTTGCCTGTTTCTTAAATATTTAATAAATTCCCAAAAAAGTTAATGTTTTACAAGATGATGAGTGTTATAAGATAGACTGATCAAGTTTAACCAGGATTTTAATTTAGATTCTGAGTGGAGCGAAGTTATATAACTTGTAGTTTTACAAATGCTTGTTCAGATCTTGCCAAAGAGCTTTTCCAGCAAATGTGAAAAATCAGGATAAAACATGAAAAAACCCGAAAAAACGTAGGAAAACTGGGAAAATCGGCACAACTTTAAACAAATATTACTAAAGAAAATATATAAGGCCTATTTAATAATTTTGCTCTAAACTTGCATGTACATTGTTGACGAAGTATCACTATCAACTGAACTCTTCTCAGACTCGTCTTTTCGTAAGCAGTGGTTGTTTATTGTCGCTTACTGGTATACATTGAATTATTAATGACAGTGGCTGCACCCGTCACTATTATTCTAAGACGTTTTTTTTTTAAATTTGTCTCTTTTGATGTCGGGTTGGGTAAAACAAATATCCGTCAAATTTTTTAATCTTTAATATGATTTTTAGTAGTCACGTGCTTAAAATAAATTGAAAATTTGCACAAAGATAATCTTTTTATGTGATCTTTTATATAAATTCACTTGATTTGTGACCAAGTGATCATTAAACAAATTAAACAAATAACGATAAATTCAGTTTTTACTACGATCTTGATGAAATTCGAAGTTTTTTATTTACAGGCGTTGGAAGAACTAGTTTTATAATAATAATATTATGGGGCTTTCGGTGTTTAAGAGGAACATTATGTATTTTTACAACCATAACATTTTAGTACGGGTCAAATAAAATACAAATTTACGACGTCCGTTAACGACGTCGCTGGTGACATTGCCGCCGACGCAGTTGCACTATGAATGCTTTTATCATTTCTATTCAAAATTCGATCCAATGCTACGATTATCTTATTCTATCGGCGCCGAAGACCAACGGCAGCCAACAGTCAAGTATATTACTTTAAAAATAAATGACAGATTTCTTTTAGTTTATTTTAGTTTTGGTCATTGAGTATTTAAGTGGGTTGGGTGGATAGACGCCATTGAGAATTATTTGGCGAAAAAGGTTGAGAACACACGCATTATATATCGATCTATATCTCGAATAGCTCCGAATTTCAGCAGCCAATCAACCGTCTTTAATTTATTTCTAGATTTTTTTGAATGATTCGATATTTTTCTATCCTAATTTAAATATTAAAATTTGTTATTCGAGTGTGTGGTGCATCTTCGAAGATACTTAAAATATTTTAATTTAGTTGACACTGCCGTCAACCATTCCAATTTTGAACTATTCCAAGAACCCTAGCGTTCCAAAACCGTGGGCTGGTAAGACTCCCAACTCCAAAATCCTCTGAACATCAGGAAAAAGGTAATAACTCAATTTATTATTAAACAGAGTAGCTCTTTATTTTATCATTTAAAATCGTCAATTTTATTTTTGTGTTTTTTACAAATGTAGAATATATTTTATATTATATACATTTAACCACTCCTTTTAGCTTTTGGTGTTATAACACACCGTAATAATTTATTAATTAGGAAATATAATATCAATAATTAGGCAATTCAATTTGGTCATATTAAATATTTAAATCTGTAATTTGTTTAGTTAAAAAATGTACTATAAATATGAGTATTTATAGTACATTTTTTTGCGTACTGAGGTACGTTTTGCGGATAGCAAAGTCTTATATAAATACTTCATGTAAAAGGCAATTTTTGTCAGTTTCCCACAGACATTTAATGTAAACGATGATATTTAAACAGCTGTGTGGGTTATTTTGTTTGTTTTGCACATCGATTCTTCGCATAAAAACATTGGATATCCAAACCTTTTAAACCTTGGAAAAATGTTATTTTAGATTCTGAGTGTAGCGAAGAATGTAATGGTTTTATTAAGATTTTTTTTTTATGCTCTTTTATTTACCCTTTGTTACATAGCTTATTTGTTACATGGTAGAGACCATAAATCTTGCACAGATGTATACGCATGGCACAATTTATGAAAGGGCATTCCCCAACAACATTTTGTTCAGATAGTACTTTTGGGAAGTTTTTTTTTTGATTTTCCAAGCAGTTTGCATAATATCTGGGAATAACCAGTATAAAACGTAAGAAAAATTGGAAATTTAACGAAAATGATTTTATTATTTTTCAATTTTGTTATTTGTTGTAATTCAGTTAAAGATCTTTGTTAAACTATAAGCTTCTTTACTCCACTCAGAATCTAAAAACAAAAGTAGCTACAGCGTTTTTTGCTCAAAAATATACTATATATATCTTTCATGACTCAGTCTATTCAGAGATTCATATTTGAACCGATGTTTGTACTATTGGAAAGAGAAATACTTCTTATAGGGTAACATTTATATGGATTTTTAAAATTACACATTTAAATGCTTTGATTAAAGTTTAAATGTATTGAGAATAATTTTTATCATTTTTTAAACAATTCTTTTTCGTTGTTTTGGATGTTATAAATCAATGTCCAATATGACAGAAAATATATGTTTTAAATCGGATTTGTCTACAAGGCATCACAGTTTTTCCTATAATATAAGAATTGTTGTAATATATTTTGAGGTTTCCCTCAATAGTTTTACTCAATAATTTTCCCTCAACAATTCTAATTGAATTGTACGTAAAAAAATGGTAAGACATGTAAACAGTAAATGTTGAAACTGTGTATAAAACCACGATCAGTATAAAACCTTAATAATCAATATTTTGATAGTGAAAACCCATAAAGCGTATTGAAATTGGTTACAATATGGATTGTTGTTTTTTATCTATTATATATTATATGTTAGTTCTATTATGTTTATCTGATTTTTGGAATTTGTAAGTGTAGTTAAAGCAGATATTTTCAAATTCTTAGATTTTTCACAACCTTTAATACCAACTTTGATTTTTCAAATGAGAACTTATATTAAAAATTCCATAAATAAACGGAGTAATACTTTAAATAAATTTTGATGTTTAAATTTTTGATTTCTGTGTATCCATTAACGAGATATTCCAATTTCAAGTTTAGGTATAAAGTATTATTATTTTGTGTGGGACGCGGCGTTTTATGCGTTCCACTGAGTTCAAATTAAAAGTGAAATATATCTCGTCAACGGGTTGATGGAAATCAAAAATTTTAACAACAAAGTTTATTTAAAGTAGTATTTACGTCTATTTGTGAAATTTTGAATTTAGGTTTTCTTTTAAAAAAAACAACGTATTTATCACCGCATGATACTCTTTAAATACTGTGAAGAATTGAAAATAACTAATAATAGCTTTAACTACACTTAAAAATTCCAAAAACCAGAATATATACAAAATTTAACCAAAAAAAATGAGATGAATCATCCTGATATAAATTATATCCCCTCCTTAAAAAAGGTATGTAAAAATTTGCATGCAAATCGTCTATTCCACAACGTAATTTCTGTTGAATAAAAATGATAGATATTTATCTATTTTATTTTTCGTTTTTGCCAACACTGCAGCACTGTGAAAATACATCAAAAAAATCGTTAACCCTTGATGAGACTCCAATGAATTTCCAAATACAATTACTATAAGTAAATCGAACTGAATTAAGTAAACTGAATTAACGGCCATGTGGAATAACGGGGAGTTTTAGAAAATTTCCAGCATTTCAAAACACGCCTAACGGCACTTTACTCAGCTCTTATTGACAGTTTTTTTCCTGCTATGGGTCAACTGTAATCGATTTCCACTGTTTTAAATACTATACGTTCAATTGTTATCGTTATATCAAACGTTTTAAATTTAAATAATTTAAATTGATCTGTGAAAAAAAAACAAACAAAATGTTGAATAATATATTCATACTCGCGGATACCTTATTTATTTACAGTCAATACGATATTAAAGTGGCCCTCCCTCCGCTTACCTTATTTATTTTATTATAATTATTATTATTGTTTTTTTTTTTTTTTGTTTTGGTTCATCGCGCAGAACGATAAATTGAAAATAATCTTAAATAGATTATAGATTGTTATCGTTGTAGTTTGTAAGTTCGCTAAAATGTTT